TAAATAAGGAGGAAGTTTTTAAGATAATTATTGAACCTATAAAAGAGAGAATAATAATGGATACTCTGTTAGGCTGTTAACATTTTGCAACCTCTTCGGCGCATGCAAGGTACCAAATTGTGTTCTTCATGCATATAAGAAGTTTAGACAAACTATTTAATCATTTATTTTGATAAAAGCAAGAATCAATAACACTATATACCACAACTTCAACAACTGGTGCATATCATATTATCATATATACTTTGCATTATGGAAAACATGTACATGTATAATAAATCAGAATATAGTTCAATCTTAACATAAAAGGTGATGATTTCATGATAAATTTCATACTAATTATTTCAGTAAATACAAAACATTTACCTTGATGATGATAGGTTTTCCTTATCTCTTAATCGGATAGGATTGATTTCCATATTGTTAAAAATTATCGTATCATAGCCAATAAAGAAAATAATAATAAATTATTATTTAATCACAATATAATTAAGTAGTATCATAAACTATAACACTGAACATAAAGATTAGCATAGATATAGTTAATTTTATCCTATTATTTATTAACAAAACGATAAAATAACGTAACCGATTTACCAACTTGATTAGCCGATAGGATTTTGATAAATAAGTCCAACTAATGATCAACAAATATTTCAAAAGCTTTAATGGAATTCGCCGATCATGCTATAAAATTCTATACTAATTCAAAGTCACAGTAACCAAAAAAAAGGAATATTGACCAATACGATACAATGCAATACAATTATACAAATTAAAAAAAAAAAAATTGTGCACATGTGAATAGGATAATCACAAATTCATTATGAAATTGCTTTAATAATCATTCTTAAACAAAATAAAGTGGAAAAAGAATAACTTGCAATAGAAGTAGTATACGTTAATTTAAGTGATATTATCAAATCGATGGAAATAAAATCGAAATTATTCATATTCGCTTGTACATAGAATTATTTACATAAAGAAATCTGAAGTATATACGTACCTTTGATTGAGATTTAAATTAAACGATTAGTCGCCTTATCGGCCAAGGTTAATGCTTAATCGACTAAGATTAATTTCCTGGTTATTAGAGTGGATTAACCTTATTCAATCGGGTAGAGCTTTAGTGCTGATAACGTGTTATAAAATTAAATAGAAAGAGGAGAAATTAGGGAGAGAATAGATCAGTCTATTTTATTTTATAGAGTGGGGATATATATAAGTAGGGTTTTCTTAGATAACCATAAACCCTAATTCTAGAACATTCCGAAATGATAAAGGATGATACAATATTTCATAACAATAACATCTTTATACAAAAAAAAATTATTTATAAAATTTGTAGGAAGGGGGATTTTGAATAAAAAAATCATTAATTGTTTACCAAGTTTATGGTATGTCAATTGAATAAATTTATTATTTAAAAAAAATGAATAAGTTAAAATAACTTTTAGGGGGTATTACATGCTTGTTAAGATTGATCCTTGGACCAAATACGCTGCATAGAGTTTTAAGCAAAATTAAAATGCCATGGACTGTTAGAGCTGTCAAAAGCTAACCCGACCTAAATTCGATTATTAACCGACCCGTCTAAACCCGAAAAAAATGATTACCCGAACCCGACCTGAAACCAACCCTAGACCCGCGTTGACTCGAGTATTTGAGACCCGAACCCAAATATGAACCGACTTGGAGAAGACCCGACCCAAATGTAACCCATAAATTATTGACCTGAACTGATCCGACCTAAATCGAAATTGACCCAATCTCGTTTATTATAATACTACTTTGACTATCATACATGGAATTTATAAGACTCATCTATCATTGACCCAAACCCGTTTTCAAAAACGAGTATTATAATGACTCAAACCCGTTTATTATAATCGAAATTTACAGACTTTGACTATCATACATTAGTAATACAAATAATATATAAGATTTTATTACTTAAATCACCACAAAATTTAAACCTTTTATTATAATACTACAAAAAAACTAAAACACCATTGTATGTCATCCAAAAAAATCATTGATGGGCCTTACAACGTACACGTGTCACTAATCTAGTAGATAAAAAAAACAAATTTTTTAAAATAAAAAAACCATAAACCCTAACCCAACCACCGACAGCAGCCTACAACCCATCGCCAACACCCCTAGTGTCGCCAAACCCAAGTTGGCACCGAAACCCTCTCCTTCACTGTCAAAACCACCAACCAACCAACCGTCACCCCCCTCCCTTTCCTCCTTACCCTGTGGTGAACTTCACCCCCTCCCTTTCCCCCACACATTTTCAACCCCAAACTTGCAACTCCCTAAACCCTAACCAACCAGAAACACACGCAACTCTCATTCCACCACCTAAAGTGCCACTAGCGCTTGAAATCAGTCGGTTAGGGCCTGAGTGGTCGAATTTGGCCCTAAATCGATCGATTTAGGCCTCTAGGTGCTCTTTTATTTTAGAAAGTAAAAAAAACTTATAGGTGACTGTTAGTGAAGGAGGGGGTACTGGTGCTAGGGGTGTGTCAAAAGTGGTGCAGAGTTTGGTTGTTGTGGGTGTGTTGGAGGTGGTGTAGGTTTTGGTGGCTATCGGAGTGTCGAAGGGAGGGTTCCGACGTAAGAGGGGGTGCCAGTGGTGGGGATGGGGTGACTAGGGTTATTTTTTGGGATAATTATTTATTTCTTTTTTTAACTAATAATATGGTGACATGTGGCAGTGTGAATCCCACTTAACAGATCCAAGAATATCTTAAGTGGTGGTGGAATCTATTAATAAAAGTTTCAGTTTTCTGTGATATTAAAATCCATTTTTGTGTTGTTTTGTGGTGCTATCAATTACATTCTACTAAAAGCGAATAAAAAAACACTTGTTAATAATGTACTATCTCCAAAATTTTCCCTCCAAAAGTAATTTCTTAAAATAAATCATTGTTACTTAAGGAAAAAAAAAATTGTTACTTAAGGAAAAAAAAATATTGTAGTATTAAAAATTTTCCCTCCAAAAGTAATTTCTCAAAATAAATCATTGTTACTTAAAGAAAAAAAAAATCAATTACATTCTACTAAAAGCGAATAAAAAAACACTTGTTAATAATGTACTAACTCCAAAATTTTCCCTCCAAAAGTAATTTCTTAAAATAAATCATCGTTACTTAAGGAAAAAAAAATTGTTACTTAAGGAAAAAAATATATTGTAGTATTAAAAATTTTCCCTCCTAAAAGTAATTTCTTAAAATAAATCATTGTTACTTAAGGAAAAAAAATTGTTACTTAAGGAAAAAAATATATTGTAGTATTAAAAATTTTCCCTCCAAAAGTAATTTCTTAAAATAAATCATTGTTACTTAAAGAAAAAAAAAATTGTATCTGAATTATGACATTTGTTCTACATAAACATAACGGTCAATATTATAACTGTTACGAGTAATTAAATATTTTTTCTTGCTTCTTTTAATTTTTAACATACACCTTATTTTTCAAAAGTACTTGACAAATTTAACCTAGTAAGTTGAAAAATCCAAAAAGATATACTAATATTTAAAAACTTGACACAAAAAAAAAAAAAAAAAAAAAAAAAAACTAGTCTCCTCTCTCTGTTCTCTCTCCTAAACTTTAGACTCCATTGTTAACTTTGAAGGGGCTTCCATCGGATTTCACCGGTGGAAAGCCCCAATCTTTATTTCTTTTACATTTTTTTTTTGTTTTTTGGATTATAATAATGTCTCCCTCAAAAGAAAGGGTTTATCTCCTTCGAAAGACAAGGTTTTTTCGATCTACTCCAAAAGACAAGGTTTTTCGAACTCCTGTTCGAAAGACAAGGTTGTTTTATTTGCACTTAATAAGGTCTCCAATTGTGCGGGGCTTCAATTGATTATGTCTCGGATTCGGGTTACGAATTTAACACAAGAATTTTCTTCCTCACAAAACTATAAAGTAGCGATAGTCCACTCAAAAAGTTGTATGAGACAACGAATCGAGAATGTGCCAAAGTGTTATATCTATGTATTTGTATTCTTAGCCCTTCCCCAATTAATTTACTTTTGCTTTTGTTAATCTCTTTTTATTATTGTTAATTGTCAATTGTAGATGTCATATGACTTTATTTAATGAAATTTAATGTCCTTTGGGACTTCTTTCAAGAAAAAAAGAATTTTTTTTTTTATGAAAAAAAGAACTTGATACCCCCATAATATTGGTATTTAAAAGTATATTAATTATTTTTGTATGGGATGGTGCCAATATCAATATGTCTAGGGTTTTTAAATGGAGGAATGTTATGCATGTAGAAATGCATAACAAGATGCATTTGTGTAATTACAAACGAATGCATATTCTGGTATCAATAAATGATCAATTAGTATCACTAAACATACTATATATGCATATAATGGTATTATATATACATTTAATTATACTAAATTTATGTATAAATAGTATCACTGATGATCCAATAGTAATATATAAGCTTTCAATGGGTGGTATTATATATACATTCAATTATACTAAATTTATAAATAGTATCAATGATGATTCAATAGTAATATATAAGCTTTCAATGGAACAATCAACATGTAGTCCCCAATCACGTGATACAATTCGACCAAAATATAGGTGGGATCCACCTACATACTTCTCTCTTCATATCTCTCTCCTCTTTTCTCTCTCTACCATTTAAAATATTTTAATCAATATTATGTATTTACAAATATATAACATTCCTCCATTTCTATTTCCTCCTGTATGATAAGGACAAAGGCCCGGTCATCAACTCTTCACCAATTCCATTATCGGCCTACTACCCATAATGGCTTATTAACAATCACAAACAACAAAGAAACACTCTAGAAACCAAAAATTATCCAATACATTTGTAGGTTCACCTGTGCCTGGATTTAGGCAAATTTGACTTATTTATATTCAGTTTGGATTGTTTTGCCTGTTAATTTTACTTTTAAAAACTCTTGAAAAAAATGACCAAGAACAACAAAAGCGTAAAAAAGTAAATGATACGGAATAAATTTTGACAAATATTTCCAAATTGTTAGCACAATTTAACTAGTGTTTATTTTGGCACAAGAGGAAACCATATTTCAAGTCATTTGACTAAATTCTCATTACAACACAAAGTATATACCAATCATCAAATACACCCTTGGCGAAATTGGTACAGGTTTAAATATAATTCCCAGGAGGTTAAACAACACCCTTCACATCCAAGTTAACAGCATCATAACCATCAAGAAACACACCTAGGAAAGAAAGTTTGACCAACATAACCCCCAGCCATAGCTCTTCTCACGTTAGATTCAAACATTTTCGGATTATCCCTCAACACAGCAGCGGCATCATGATTTAAAGGGTCTTCATAGTTTGGTTGCTGCACACACAAATAAAATGCCCACTATAACGCAATGCATGTAGCAATAAAAGATAAAACAATATCCAGATAAAAAAGATATGTTAGTACCGTGAAGAGATGATACAACCCATAGATGACAGTGTTTACATTCAAAACAGGTTTCCAGTCTTCTCTTAGAATGTTAAGGCAGACATTCCCTTCTAAATCGATGTTGGGATGGTATACCTGCCAGATGCATACAAAAAGTACACATAACTTATGACTTGTCATTTTATGTAGAATAAGACAGTTTTCCATTGAGAATCACTGTATTTACCTTGGTCTTGCACTTAACCTTTGGAGGTTCATGAGGATATACAGATGGAACTTGAAAGGTAAATACAAAGGTGCCACCTCTGCAATCAAAAGTTCCCTAAGTATATCAATACACTATGCAATTATTGCTCCGTCTCTTAAAGTTCTACCTATTTAAATGGTGTGACTCACTAAAAAAATAATAAAGTCAAGGAGAACTTTTTGAAATGGAGGGAGTTGATAAGATGAAAGAAACAAGTAATGCAAATAAAGCATAGCCAACTGAATTATTAATGAAGTTCTATGATCCAAATAGAAATATACTAATCTAATTTACTCCACACTAATATAATTACTTCCTCAGTAACACAATATATGCATTGTTTGGACCTTGGGACCATTGGACACTATTCATTTATTAGCTCTGACTGCTTTTTTCTGATACAGTTAATTATAAATCAATGTGTGAAATGTTGTGCGAATAAATTCAATTTATACCATCAAAAGTTTTTTTTTAAAAAAAAAAATTATTTCATATTAAAAATAGTTTTAGGCAAAGGGAAAAGTCAAAATGATGTGTTCATTGTAAAGTAGATTTTGACAAAAATTTCACCCTCTCCATACCTCCATAATTACAAGAAAAAAGAGAACAAAGAATAAAGCAATATTGATGGCTAAGAGATGATAATTATAATTAAATAAATAAAATAAAAAGGGAAAGAAACAAAGTCAAGAATTAATGACATAGGTACAAAGACAAGCAAGAACTACACACTAGTTAGCAATAGCCTATGACTGGTATTAATAGAAGATATCAATTATGAGACTCGTGATGCAATCTAGGTGTTGGAATGATTTAGTAGAAGAGACAACTTACAAATAGTATCCCTCATCAGGCCGGATAGTAACTTCAAAATTCATCAGGTCATCCTTCCCATTGGGAAATGACATGGTACACGATTTAGGCAGGTTCAGTTCACTGATATCTAGAAAAAGTCAATAGTTTAGAGCCACAATATGTAAACAGAAGAGGTAACAGTAAAGTGAAGCATAATAATATGTTGATCATACGTCTCATAAAAACCTCCAATCTCCACAATGCAGATTTAGTGGATACAAGGAGTCCAGGACCAAATGCAGCAGATGAGATGTTAATAGATTGCCGCATAAAACTATTCTAATAAGGATAATGTGTTTCTTTTATTATGCAGAAAGATCAGTTTATAACTGGCAACAAATTATGAAAGAAAGTGTGAAGCTTGCAAACACTTTTCAGTGCAAATCATGATATAAACAATCAACATCACATCTGTCTAAGTTTTAAAAGGCACAAGGCGCAAATGGTCCTTGCAGCCTAGGCGTGAGGCGCAAGGCGCGAGCCTCTAGTATGCAAGGCACATGTATTTATATATTTATTTCAAATTATTTTTTACTTTGATTGTACTTAATACCAGTTAACAAGATTCATAATAAATAAAATAATGATATATGTAAAGCTAAGGTAGTTTGAATTTGAAAAAATGTCCATCATTCTTCAATTTATAACTTAAATATTAGTTATTTTCCTTGAGGCGCAGAGGCACACCTTACCAAAGGCACTTTGAGGTGCGCGCCTTCCATAGGTGACTGAGCCTCGCCTAGCTAAAGCCCATTTCCCAGAGCCTGGGAGCAAGGCGCGCTTTTTAAAACCAAGACATGTGTCTGAACAGAGCAACTGATGAGCAAGAATCTCACCAATCCACCCAATCCACACGCACAAAAAGAGAGAGTAAAATCTCCATCCCAGTCTCTTACATATAACTAAAGACATGTTCATAAATGCATGAGTCTAGGGTAATTGAACAATAGAGTGAGGAACCCCATATAATTCATGCGCAGATGATGAAAATGAAAAAGAATGATACAAAGTCGTATAAATTTTTTCCCCTTCGTAAATCAGCTATTCTTTAGTGTGCTCGACGCTTAAAATAATTTTATTTTTTTTCATTACTTGTGTATGACAAATATGGAGCAACATACAAAAAGGATGGGATTTTTGAAATTTGAGCCAAAACTTCTAATGCTGAATTGAACACAACTTACACAAGGCCAATACTACAGCAACATTTATATAACAATATGAATCCCAATAACAACAGCTTCTTAAGAACGAATACCTTTATGGAGACGTAGTTCTCCAGCTGACTGTTTTTTGACATGGGTCTTTCCATTAAGATTTTCAGCATTTTCCTTTTGTTTTGCTTTCACTCTGAATAAGTTAATCATCTTCTCTGAACAACAAAAGGAAAAGGATAAATAACAACCTCAATTGACCAGATACCAGAATTCATTATACAAGTACAATTTTGAAGTCTCATTGACATAGTCATAACAAATGAAAGGTACATACAATTGTCATTGGAAACCTTTAAATCCAAGCAAACATACATCATACTTACTCATTCAACTGATTAATTGATTTATTCCAGCATGAATTAAAAAATAAATAAAATAAAAGCAACCAAATTTAACAAATTTGAATTGGGACCGAATTTAGAAACCCAAACGCCGAGATCTTATTGCAGCATCTACAATTTGAGGTTTGTATATGAGATTCGCGTGTTTATATAACCAACTATGTTAAATTTTCAACAACAAATACAGTAGCATGAACCCTAACTGATCTTTGTTCCAGAATTCGTCAAATCCCCTGATTAAGGGCGTAATTAGAAAAACACAAAAATAAAATTTATAGAACACTGCACCTGAACTAATTTTAAACAAAATTTCGTGAAAACCCGACCGTAATTAGAAAAATCTGTACAATTAAAAAAAAAATTACCTGAACGAACAATCCCCAAATCTGCCAGAAACTTCCAATGTCGTCACAAATTAGCAAACTAGCTTAGTTTGTGAAGGAATATTTAGTTTTATAACACTGAATAATAGTCGAGGAGAGAATTGGTGTGATAATTACTCCTTTGGTCTAGGGTTCTTTGTGAGGAAACCCAGAATTAGAAAATAAGAGGAGAGAGAATTTTAGAATCTAGAATCCAATCCAAAATCTAATACGGGGTATATATACTTAGGACATGTTCTTTCAATCTTCTAATCATAAAATATTTTTAGTTTATCAAATTCGAGCTCAATTTGAATTCTTAAAGGCTAAGATGGTCAATTGGCTACTAAACCTTTACCAGAATATTTACATCATAGTAAGAACCCTAGACCAAAAAAGTAATTTCTTTTGATTTTTTTTTATGTGGTTGAAATTGTTTCCAAAAACCAGCGAGTCATGGAAGAGTCTTATACCATATTTAGTAATGTGCTTGCATTCTAGGACAGATGAAAATGGAAATTGTGTTAGTAATTTTGGGATTGAGGGAGTAATAGGTGGAGAGTAGGCTCTATTAACGCTTTAACGATGATTTAAATAAAATGTAAACTTGTTAACGGCTAAATGACAACGTCACCGTATAGTAATTAATTGTGTTACAGGGTTACAATGTGTAAATTTCAAAAAGAGGGGCACAACTTGGAAAAAGCAATAGTAGAGGGTCACTATGTAGAGTTTTCAAACTATATTTATTTCTTATAAGTCACCAACTTTAGTCAAAGTTAATTAGGTAAATAGTGCAAAAAGTCAAAACGTTTTACTTCAAAAAAATATGCAAAAGAGTATATTAAGTTGATAATCGGAAACTATACATTGATACAATCTTTACAAATATCTACGTGAAACATGATAATATTTAATCTTATATATAATGCACAAACCGAGGTTAATGTGGTTCCTATGAATAGTGAAAAAGTCAAACGTGTTGTTTGGTTGACAAATAAAAGCATGAGAAATTGGGATTCCTAGGAATTGAATTTCTTTGAAGTTGTTGAGAGCTGATACACATACAATCATTGTATGTGGTCCCTACATACAATACCACTAGAAATTTGACACATCATAAAAAAGGGAAGAAAACTAGGAGTCAAATATAAATTGAATTCAAATAGAACTTGGACCCATAATTTTAGCCAATAAAAAATGACAAATTGTGGTTGTATGTAAGGACCACATACAACAATTGTATGTGTAGCCTTTGGTTGACAAATTCATGGGAAGTAAAAATTCCAATGAATTTTCACTTCCCACAAAATAGGGGAAGTTAATTACCTAGGGGGGACCTAGGTAAGTGGAACTTCCCTGGGTTAACCAAATACTTTTCAGAATTTCATGGAAAATTAAATTTCCAAGAAATTTGCAATTTTTACATTCAACCAAACGAGCCTAAAGTATGACATTTGTTTTCAAACGAAGGGAGTACCTTGTAAGCTAAAAGATTTATCCCTCTTATCTTCAATTTTATTTATTTACTCCCTTCGTATTATTACATTCTCTACTTCCCTTTAACGATCGTATTTTATTAATTGTTTCATTTTCTTTTTTGGAAATCTTTAACAATAATACAATATTACACTAATTTCCTTCCAATAGTAGTCCACTCATATCATATTTTAATATTTTTCATATTTTCTCTCCTCCCAACTTATACTTACTTTTGCTTTTTTTAGATTTTTTTATTCTTCAATCAACCCCACTTTCATCATATTTTATTACTTTCTACTATTCCTTCTAAAACTCCGCACATGGATAAATGGACCAAGTAATAAAATATGAAGGCCGGGGGACTTTTTTGTGGTAAGGAGAAGGATGTTGTCTGTACCTCAATCCTTACGTTTTTTGGGTTCGATATTTACAAGTCATACACTTTGGGAGTTGGGGGGGGGGGGGGAGGGTAAGTGATTCATACCCTCAAAGTGTCTATAGTTAGAAGGTGCAATATTTCTCACTACACCAAGTTTAGCTTGGAATCTTATTATTTTCTATTGATTTTAGTATGGAAGCTCATTTTGACTTGTAAGTAGATCGAACCAGGGCCGTCTCCGCCAATTCGGTGGCTCTGTTCTAACTATAAAAATTGGGCCCTTAAATTTTTAAAGGACTATTTTTAAAAGGTTTTGGATGAATTTTTCAAGGGAATTTAAAAAGGCAAAGTCAAAGATTTAGGATGAATTGTTTTGTTTTAGTTTGAAAATGGTGGTCTTTTAGTTTTACAGGAAAGAAGGTGATAAGGTACTTCAGATTTTTTTTTAATAGAGTCAACACTTTTTTTTTTTAAATTATGGGCCCCTAGATTTTGAGGGCCTTGTTCTGTGGGTGTGAAAAAACATGTCCAAAGTCGGGCCTAGATGGAACCCCATGTCCTATCTTATGGCTTCCAAAAATATTTCCAACAATTATAAATTTATATGCTTCAAGCTCTTGAACACAGTTAGAGAAATAGGCAATATATACAATATTAATTACTCATAAGACAACTGCAATTTGAGTAACAACTTGTAATATTTTTTTTTTCTAATATATATACTTCCTCCGTTTTTTTTTATTGCATCATAGGGGTTTTGGAGGCAAAATTTGATAGTGGGAAAAAGTAAGAGAGAGAAACGTAAAAATACAAAATTGTCCATGTAATGTAAGATAAAATAAAAAGTAAGTGTGAAAAAGTAAGGGTATGTTGGGTATTTGCAGTGTGAACATAGATATTTTTTATCCTAAAAAGGAAATAATGCAATAATAAGTAAACTTCCTAAAGTAGTAAGTGATGCGATAAAAAAAGAACGGAGGAAGTATTTCCTTCATTCACTTTTAGCTACAATATTTGAAACTTTGTAATATTCACGTTTTTTCCTTTGACCACTTTTGTACATGTATTTGTATTTGTATGTTGGGCAATATGAATTAAACTCATCTAAACATAGTTATGTATATAAATTCATCTAAACATAGTTTTATATTCACATTTTTTCCTTTGACCACATTTATAATAGTTTTATTTGTTTACACCGTTTGAATTTTACACTATTCACACAAGTGACACAACACGCTTTGACTCGCTTTTGTGGTTTATAGGTACGATAAAACATATTTATGTGGGATCTTGTTTGAATCATTTCAAAGTATATTTTATTAATATCCACTTTTTATAATTTTACAATGTTTATAATTGATGTTATTAAGCGTTAAAAACATGCGCTGGCAAATGTGATAATAGAAATGTGTCAACTAAAAAAAACAGAGGAAGTATGATTCAAACAAGATCTCACATGACTATATTTTATCGTATTTATGATCACAATAACGAGTCAAAGTGTAGTTTATGAATAGTATAAAAGTCGTACGGTGTCAACTAAAAAAAACAGAGGAAGTATATATAAGGCCTACACATCTATATCTATATCAATACTCTATACTTTAGTATTTCAAAACACAAACCACAATCATTCATATGTCAAATGTCCTCACAACTTACTCATATGCCACATGTCCTTACAACTCAATAGCTCATATGCCACATGTCTTTATAACTCACTCAATTAAATTAAATGTATTACATAATGTTAAAGTCTTTATGCATTCCGCAACTTGTACATTTATGTAAGAAAATAAAATGTTTCATTTGCACCATGATAAAGTAAAGGTGAATTAATTCACTAGTAGAAAAATACAAATAGGCAACCCCTAATGGCACCGGTTCAGGCCAAACCGGTGCCAAAAACCGGCCTAAAAATGAGCAGGTTTTTAAACAAAGAGAAATGGCACCGATTCAGATCAAATCGGTGCCAAAAATAAAAGGGCACCGGTTTGAACCGGTGCCCAACCGAACCGGTTTTTAATTATTAAAAATAAACCCGCCTATTTAAATATCCCCAAACCCTAAATGAGCCTATTCTCTCTCCTCTCCTCTCCTCCGCCTCTTTCTCTGCCTCTTTCTCTCTCCTCTCCTCCTCTTTCTGAAACTCCTATTCACCATCGATCTATTTCTGAAACTCCTCCTCCTTTTTCTATCACTCGAAGACGAAAAAGAAATCGAAGACAACAACAAATCGAAGACCAAAAACCGCGCATTTTAATCGATATCTTAGTTTTTTTTTTACCATTTCAATCTATTTCTGGGTTTTGTTTTTCGATTTCAATTTTGATTGTGTTGTTTTCGATTTTGATGTTTTTCGATTTCAATTTCAATTTCGATTTTGTTTTTGTTTTTCAAGTTGCATGCGGTTTTGGGGTTTTATTTTCGTGATTTTTAGGTTTTTTTTTTTATTTTCAAGTAATTTCGATTTCTGGGTTTCTTTTTTCGATTTTGTTTTTTTTCTATTTCGTGATTTTGTTTTTCGATTTCAATTTTGATTGTGTTGTTTTCGATTTTGATTTTGTTTTTCGATTTCAATTTCAATTTCGATTTTGATTTTGTTTTTCAAGTTGCATGCGGTTTTGGGGTTTTATTTTCGTGATTTTTAGGTTTTTTCGATTTCATTTTTTTTTTCAATCTCTGGGTTTATTTTATTTTTGTTTCCAAGTTTGTTTTAATCAAATTTTTAATCAATTTCGATTTTGATTTTTTTTTTCGATTACAATTTTTTTTGTTTTCTGGGTTTTTGTTCGATTTTTTTTTTCGATTTCTATTTATTTTTTTCTGGGTTCATTCGAATGTTGTTATATTTATTTTTTGGGGTTTTTTAATCGAATTTAATTTTATTTATTTTCTGGGTTTTTTTTAAATCGAATTTAATTTTATTTATTTTGTGGGTTTAATTCATTTTTAACTGTTCTGGTTTTTTTTTTTTAGATTTCTAATTTTTTTTTCTGGGTTTATTCGAATGTTCTTTTTTATTTTTCTGTTTTTCTGGAATTTTTTTTTGGAATTTTTTTCGCAGCTTAATTAAATCATTTTAATCATTTATTTTGGTTGTTTTAATTGGTGCAGGTACATGAATTTAGATCTTAAATTGAAGAATCAAGATGCAAGTATATTGATTTAGATGTTGTATTTTTTTTTTATTGTGAAGTTGTAAATTTTTATTTTGATTTATATTGTAATTTTTTTATTTATGTTGTAATTTTTTTATTTTGATTTATATGTTGTAAGTTTTTGTATTAATCTATACTGGATTTTTTTTTTGATTATATATATATTGAACAGATTTGATTATATTTATTGTGATGTTCTATTTATATTTTGTATTCTCATTTAATTATAGTTTATTTAATTTTTAATAAAAAAAAATTATTTTTTTTTTCACTTTTGGCATCGGTTAACCGGTGCCAAAAGTGGTGAATTAATTTTTTTTTTGGTACTTTTTGGCACCGGTTTGGTACTTTTTGGCACCGGTTTGAACCGGTGCCTTTTTAAACCCCTTTTTGGCACCCCTCACTTTGGCACCGGTTCAAACCGGTGCCTTAGGCCGGGTTTGAACTGGTGCCAAAGTCATTTTTTCACGTAGTGATTAGTACACTTTACATAAAAATATGAAGTATAATATAAAAATAGTCTTTTTATCTCTTATACTTAAAAAATACGGAGCATAACTTAAACTAATTTGTCATTTCATATCCCACAATATCTATTAACTATTACTAAAACAGAAAATTGCTGACATAATCCTCTCCTCAAATTGTATACCTGTCGTTCTCTCATTAAAAAAAAAAAAAAAAATCCGGCCTAATGCACTTATGATGTTAAATTTTTCCTCTGTTTTTTTATTATTGCACCATAAGAGTTTGGTGCTAATATTTTGGTAGTGGAAAAAAGTAAGAGAGAGAAAGGTAAAAATACAAAATTGTCCATGTGACATATAGATAAACTAAAAAGTAAGTGTGAAAAAGCAAGGGTATGTTGGGTATTTGTAGTGTGAACACAAATAATTTTTTCCTAAAGAGAAAATGGTGCAATATTTGTGAAACTTCCTAAAAAGGCAAGTGGTGCAATAACAAAAGAACGGAGGAAGTATATTTTTTGTGTTTTTTTTTTTTTTGAATTGGTTTTTTTCAATCATTTTCATTTAAATCTTTTGACTTTGTCAGTAAATAAATAAATAATTTTTTATTGGTTGGAATAAATAAATTGATATTGAGCTAAAAAAATTTAGGTAACTACGACTTTGACTTTTTTTTTTGTTTTTGAATAAGGTTTTACTGTTATTTGTGTGTGGGTATTACTAAGATTGTGCAAGCAACCTAGCTATAAAGTCATGTACTAATAGACTAATAATATGTTTGTTTGTTATACAAAAATGAACTAATTAAATAAGTGCATTTTTGTATAACAAACAACCATATTATTAGTCTATTAGTACATGACCTTATAGCTAGGTTACTTACACAATCCTTAGTTATAAGTATGCATATGATTTGACTAGATCATTATGGCTTTCATTTTTATATTTTGTTACTTAGTAATTTATAATGAAAGATGTATTTTTATGATCTAATTTATAATTATCGGGAATTAAATAATAGATTCAATTTATTTCACTCTAATATTTTTTTTAATCCGTGCATCGCCTAGGTGTAATCTAGTATAATACTAAAACAGAAATCAAGAATGACAGGTGTTAGTTTCTGGTGTAATATTTTCCCTCCAAAATCATTCTCCATCTTTTCTTGCAAAAATCTTTTTAGATAATTTTTTATTTCGTAATCTAGTAGAGCCCTATTATGATTGATGCTTAAATTAATTCTTTAAATTCTCTAATAATAATTGCAATTGACATGCTTTTTTTTTTTTAATTATTTTTTAATTATTTTTTTTATTAAATTGTGCTTATACCAATACTAGATTGGTGAATTAATATTGTTATCAATCTATCGTTTCAATCACAACAGAAGTTGGATTTTATGGAATTTGAATAAATGAATAAGGTTTGGAGTTCGTCACATAAGTTGAATGGATGATTAGGAAGATGAATGATAGATTTAGGGAATACTCCTCAAATCTGAGTGTGTACCATTGATTAATCAATATATTAGCCCATCGTGTGGTTGGCCACACTGTATGGCCACTTATATATAGAAGAACAAAGTAACCCCTATAACACTGACGAAGTAACCCGTGTGGCACTGACCGATTAACTTCTATAACATTGACGAAATAACCCACTAAGTAACCCCTATTACATTAGCGAAGTAACTCTTATTACACTAACGAAATAACACCTAAAAGGTTGGCCACACGGAGTGGCCTGCCACATTTGAAACTTTGTGTTAATTTTTATAGGATTACAAGACTAGTCCTAATCATGTTGTACGATAAGTATACAAAATAAATCCTAAATCTGCAACAAATATTACCTTACTATGATATCTATTAATAAGTAGTGTGTTTAATGTCCTTAATTTGCATGATTTCACAGAAATAAACTTAATGTGATTAGGAAAGTCATTGATAACTCGAAAAAGACCTTTGTTACAATCTAGGAATTACTTTTCCTCTTTTTAATTGAATTTATATTTTATGGATTGAATGACTATTGCATTGATTAAAGTTCATTTGTGGTGATGCTGCTTGATCTTATATGTTTTATAATTTGATTTCTCTTATTATTCAGATTGAATTTTGTTATTAAGTTAATTAGCTAGCTTTTAGTTCTCAATATTTTGTTTGGTTACTTAGTAATTGCTTGAATTTGATTTGTCCGTCTACATAATTAGTGATCTAATTATGTTTATTTTTGATAGGTACTTGACACTCTTGTAAAAAGAAGGGCAATAGTACCTTAAGGGTATGTCATTAAAAACTAATAACTTTTGAGTTAGAGGCCTTACTAGTGTACAAGTATGTAATTAATGATAACCTAGACAACAAGAATTTTAAAAACAACAATAAATGATTAATCAAAATTAGAGCGAAAGTGCAAATAGAAAACTTTTTTGAGAAACAAACAGGCTAACGATTAAATTAAACCCGAGGAGGAAAAAATAACTCTATGATTAATCCCAATCAGAAATTACAAACAACTTCAATAGGACCAGAGCATACTAATGCATGCTTTCACAAACTAAATCTAGGGTACGCCTAAAGTGCTAGGAATTGAGAACTAAGAAAACGAAATTAAATTGGAAATGCAAGTATTTGATCTGGTTGGTTGTGCTTTTATAGAGTTTTACAGTTTTCTGATTACGAGTTTGTAGGTTTTTTTTTTTTTTTTTTTTTTTGAGACAATTTCTTGTGACTGGTTATATATCTTCTTTGGCGCTTTTTTCGGCAAATTTTAAGATGCACCATAGTGCACCTATTTCTAGGTGCACCACGCCTATACTTTTGAACAATCAGTAAAAAAAATATGAACAATTGCAAATTTTGAACACGAAATAAAAACATCTGAACATCGCAAATTTTGACATTTAGTTAAAAAAAATATGAACAATTGCAATGCATCATGCCTATACTTTTGAACATTTAGTAAAAGAAATCTGAACAATCAAGAATTTTGAACATTTAGTTAAAAAATCTGAACATCACAATTTTGAACATTTAGTAAAAAAATCTGAACAATCGCATTCGCAATGCACCACGCCTACAATTTTGAACTTTTCGTAAAAAAATGTGAACAATAAATTTTTTGAACATTTAGTAAAAAAATCCGAACAATCGCAAATTTTGAATTATTAAGAGTCAGACAAATTTTGAATTGACTCGTAATAATTCAATAGTTTTGTAATATAAACTGTACATTTAATGTATACAAAATGAACATTTCTTGATAAAATATGAACATAAAAATTGCATGTTTATGTTCAATTTTTGTGACGTGTTCATATTCTTTTTATTAAATGTTCATTTTTTTGTAAAATGTTCAATTTTTTTACTTAATGTTCAAAAGTATAGTCGTGGTGCATCTATTTCTAGGTCCACCATGGTGGACATAATACTAATTGGCTTTTTTCCTCTTTTTGTTTAATCTAATTGGGCTTGTTATATTTTAAATTCATTGACTTTACTTTTCTGGGCCTCTTTGACTTATTTTTATGTAATTGCGCCATTGGGGTTGGACGTTGGTCCATTATCTCAATCCATTGATCCTTCAAAATTGGGTCCAGACCTATAAAAGTCAACCAAAGTGAAAATTGTTTCTAACATCGAAAAATTAGGGGTGTTTGGTATGTGAAAATTAGTAAGGTAGAAAATGTAAACAAATAAGTGTTTACAATTCTATTAGTTTGGTATAACTTATAAGCTACAAGTAACAAATATCATTTTCAAAGGGTAACAAAATCCCCCAAATTATTACCCTTATCCAACTAGTGGAAACAAAATGTGTTTCCCTCGTCAATCATAAACTCCTCAATTTGTTTTCATACCATAAATATACCAAACATATATCAAAGGTAACGTGTATCATTATCCTTTCCCTTACTTATATAAATCCTTTCCATTCCATTCACGGAATTTTTACCAAACGCCCCCAAAAGTGTAACCTCCATTAATTTTCAGTTGCCGAATGCGTCACAAAGGAGTATCCTTTTAATGCAACTAAAAAATAACGGAGATAGTAAGTAAATCATTAAAACAGATGAATTACTCGAATGCAATATAATTTTAAGTGAACCCCTCACGGCCTCACATGCCCGTAGCTGGAAGTTCACATGACGTAGGGTACATAGTCTTCTTGGCCGGTTGCCATTTTTCAAATTTGTACTCATATTATTATTATATGTCACAACTCACTACTTTGATCAGTCATCATTTTTGCTAGTATCCACCACAAGCTGACCAATCCAGCCTTCCAGGTGCTACATATTGACAGAAAGGACCAATTAATATTCTTTCATCCACTAAAAAATAAGAGGTTACCCAATCAAACTACAAAAAAATGGCATGTTAGCACGATATATTAGGAATTTAGGAGCACTCATAATTATTGACTAGAAAAATAATAACAATAATAATTATAGTTATTTAGCTGGCCATGTGTGAAGCTTAAACCTATATAACTCCCTTTAACCCGTGTGTTACTCTCCATCATTCCAAACAACTAATGCCATAAAATTACATCCTTAAATCTAGCTAACTACCAAATTTTATGTACTTGTACGTGTACCATCCATTAAAGATCTAGTGCTTACAACAATATATTTCATTTTTATGATTTATATCAACTTCGTCGATAATTAATCTCTCTTTTGTATCCTCGCAACCACCCTTAACTCCCCCCTTCCTCAAGTGGGAGGTAAGGGTGATCCGGAGGTGCAAAAGCGAGAACAATCATATTGATATTGGTATTGATATTCGTATACGTTTCGTGCAATGGAAACGATGATGCAATGGGAAAATGGTATGATGATAAAGAACAAGCCGACATCGATATCATCCTCATATTCATATATGGAGTCTGAAGTCATAATGTCTAAGTTTTGTCAAGGGATATCGAGGGTCCTCTTCAAATGGAATGGCTTGCAAATGGCCATCCAAAATGAATGGGGTGGCCATGATTCTAACCAAAAGTCCCAACAACTTGTTTTTGATATCTTCTCTTGGTTTTGTCAATCTAAAGGTATTTATTTAATTTTTGTCTATTATTTCTTCAATTTATTTGATTTTTATGTGTCTCATTTATGTTTTCCCACAATTTTCAATTGACGTAATTTATCATCATCAATATGCTTAACAATGAATTTTTACGGAGTAATTAATTATCAAAAGTTAATACTTTAAAAATATATACACTGTTGAGATAAATCTAATAATACGTAAAACTCAACATAAATTTATGTACTTCGTAATTTTTTTTTATATCTATAGAAGATTTCTTGTTATTAATTTTATTTTACTTGTCATATTGAGAATAAAACAACTGAGATACAAAAGGAATTGAAGGGAGTATTTAATTAATGATATAATTTACTCATTTTTCAAAAAAAAAAAAAATATTGAAATTTTAGTGCATTTTCCCCTGTTTTTCTCCTTATAATAGTTATCATTTTGTGACAATTTCAGGTTCATTAAGTGTAGAAGAATTAGAAAATTTTCTACATGAAACTATGTTATTTTCTTTCAACACTGACATTGAAGATGGAAGCATTGAAGAGGTATATTAATTTTATGAGATTTCCTTAACATCAAAAAACAAAAAAAAAAAAAAAAAAATTCTTATAAGAAAATAGGTCAAATTAAAACTAAAATGGCTGATTATAGGTTGCAGAGCAATTGATGAACATGCATGAAGGATGCTTGAACGGGTGCTATACATAAGTTGCAACTTTCAAGCTTAGTCATCAAATCTACTAATTACTTCAACTTGAAGATCAACTAGTATAGTAGGGTGCTCAAAGCTAAGGTAAATAATTGATTAATTTTTTTTTTTTTTTTAAACAACCCACAAACGGGGAATTGATTAATCTTTTTAATTATGCATTTTCAAGTGGTTATAAAATGCTACAGTACTTCCTACATTCAAATAAAATTATCCTTGCATTCTAATACTACATCATACTCCATAACATGTTAGAGGTATGAGATGTCGGAAACATAACAACATCTCTCAAAATGAATATGAATAATAACATTTTCACAAGCAAGTACTTAACGATAATAGACACTTTATTTATTTTTCTTAATGCGTCTACAAACTACAGGCCATATGATGATGAATTGATGAGGACCTATTCGTCGAAAACATGGAAAGGGCAAGAAACAATTGAGGAGTACTCCCTCCGATCTTTTTGGTTTCTTAGAGTCGTATTATTTTTGACAGTTGCATCAAGATCCGTATCCATGTATTGTGTAGGGTAGACTACACAAATTAGAGAGTTTGTAAAATTGTAATATTGCCAATTTGCCATGTATGATGTCATGGTACTCGAAATTCAATAGAGTGCTAAGACTCATCTCAAGTTTTTGCGATTTTTACTGAATGATTTTTATTCATTCAATGATTAGTTTATTTAGACTTTTACTTCCTCTGGTTTTATTTAATTGTCACCGTTTGACTTCTACACTATTCACACACTAAATTTTGATTCGATTTTGTGATTTATGGGCACGATAAAATATTATCATGTAGAATTTTATTTGAATCGTTTCGATGTATGTTACATTAATATCTCCATTTCATAATTTTATAATATTTTTATACACTACATTTTGATTCGATTTTTTTTTTTGACTGGATTCGATTTTGTGATTTCTGAATGCTATAAAATATTATCATGTAGAATTTTATTTGAATCGTTTCGATGTATGTTACATTAATATCTCCATTTCATAATTTTATAATATTTTTATACACTACATTTTGATTCGATTTTGTGATTTATGGATGTGATAAAATATTATCATGTAGAATTTTGTTTGAATCGTTTTGGTATATGTTACATTAATATCTCCATTTCATAATTTTACAATTTTAATAACTACAGATTTTACACTATTCATACACTATTCACACACGACATTTTGATTCGATTTTGTGATTTATGGGTACGATGAAATGTAATCATGTAGAAGTTTGTTTGAATCGTTTCGATGTATGTTACATTAACTTCTCCACTTCATAATTTTACAATGTTAATAACTAGAGATATCAATCGTTAAAAATATGCGTTAGCAAGCGTGATATTCAACTAAAAAACACAGAGGAAGTATTTTTTAACTCTTTTCTATTTCGAAATCATAACTAATCATCTAACCAATTTCAATTGCATGCCTTTATTGATCATTTCATACAATCGATCCAGCATTTTAGAAGAATCATAGATTTAAAATGGGTGTATTTTGTAGGGAATATTTCAAATGCCATAACCAACTTTGAGCCCCACTATGATCATGCATTTAAGCATGGTGGCGTTCAAAGGGAAGGAAGCTATAGCAAAAGAGTCGCTTACAAGTTGTAAACCGTCCATGGGTGTGAAGGTTACACCCCATTCACGATCACATAGATCGTTAACTTCATAGTGGTTCTTAATCATGACTGGATCTTCGAGGATGATGGTACGAAACCAACGTTAAAGAGATTGAACCAACCCTAAATAGTCCTCTACTTTATTCTTCTCATATTCATGTGCGCTTTCTGATTAACATACAATCATTAAATTAATCCTAAACATGTTTAATCTATATTTGATCATTAATACACAATGTTAATTACTTGATTTTCCCCCCTCTCTTTTCTTGGTTATTTTGATATAAAATAACCAAGAAAAACCAAGAAAAAAGGGAAAAAAAAGTAACAACAATTTCAAATCAACAAAACAAGATAAACCTATCTCAACAATCACCAAGATATATGAAATAGGGGTTCTTAATCAATGTTAACACAAAGTAAAGCTAGGATTAATTAAGGTGTAACCACAAAAATTACAAAGTAGCAATCACAAAGAAAGAAAATAATCACAAAGATTATGGGTAGAGAGAGAAAATCTCATTGATTTCAAAATTAAGCAAAGTTGATCCCAAAAGAAAGTTTAGTCCCATTTAAAGGCTTTACAAATAAACCATAAAGTTCTTAATTTACACCCCTTGGATTACAAATGAAAGACCTAGATTAAAAGATAGTAAAAAGAAGCACAAAAGAAAAGAAGTTGTCCGCTCGAAACAGGGCTTCGGGAGCGGCTGCTCTAAAGGGTAGGACCTGGCGCTCCTCACTACTAAAACTTCAAAAGACACCCATAGGAGCGGGTGCTCCTCCTGAGCAAGCGGGCACTCCTTATAAGGGGAGCGGGCGCACCTTGAGACTCCCTGGACAACTCAACTTCAAACGTTCATAACTTTTTCGTTTCTTGCTTAAATTTTTCATGTGACCTGTCGTTGGAAAGCTCTTGAACTATAATTTCACTTCCAACTTGAATCACCTAAAACTTCCTTGTGACGAAGGAGATATGGCTGAATGAAGTAGCTGCATCATACATTTATAAGTTTCTTTCTTGGCTAACACATGGAATCCTTGGAGCTTTATTCTAAGAAAACAAAATTTAGTCAAGTTTGATGACAGTCAACCCCGAGAGGTGACCACCAAGGAGTTTAGCTCGACTACCTGTTGTTCAGGGTAATTTTACCCCGCCACGTGGTCCAATCAGAGGATGACACGTGTCAGCCCCTGGATGGCCCAAAGTGGACCAATCCTTGCTTGACACGTGTCACTCCAGAAATTAAGGGAAAAAAGGCGGCCTTCAGGCCCAAATCCCGAGAAGCCGCAAAGCGGCGCAACCCACCACTGATTAGGGTATAGTGACCTAATCAGGGGAACAATTTCCAAGGACCCTATAAATAGGGAGATGTTCCTCTTTTTGAGGGGACATTTTGATCATATATTACACTTGCATTCTCTCACATCAGAGAAACATCTGAGCTTGGAATCCGAACATATACCCACCTAGATTTCCATTCTCTTTATTCCGTTTCAAGTTACTAACTTGACCGTCGGAGGCGGAGCTCCACCCACCCGGAGTCTCCGTTATTTTGCAGGTACAACTCAGCCGGATCAGACTTCGTGACGTAACTCTCCCGAGGGACAAAAACACCCAAAACATTTGGCGCCGTCTGTGGGGAGAGTACCTCGAAGATGGTTCAAGAGTCTGTACCACCCCCTAACCGTCTGGGCGATGACCCAGAAGTCTTTACAGACCAGGAGGATGAGGATCCTCAGCTCGAAACCTTTACAACCAAGGATGGCTCGCTCAGAATCAAGAGCATCCGGCCCAGAGATATTCTGGAGCGGGGTGCCACCCAGGCGGGTCCAAGCCGACCCACTGGGCAACCGGAAGGGGAAACCCAAACGGCCGCTGGATCAGCCCCTGTCACCCGAGACGAACTCATGAGATTCATGACAAGTTTCAAGGGTGAAATTAAAGAGCTGATCACCAAAAGCCGGGCTGGCCCAAGTAAAGGTCAGTCGGCGAAGAAGACTCCTCCAGAGAAGGGGAAGTCAGTCAGAAACCGGCAGCCCACTCCTCATCCAAAGGAGAAGGCAGCCGGGACCATTGATTGGTAAAAAAATCTCCTTCCTGGGAAGAACACCAATAACACTCGCCGGACTCAGCAGCCGGTGAGAAGTAAAAAATCAACTCTTGATGCCCGGGATATCATTAACCGGAAGAGAAACCAATCGCTGTCTGAGTCGGCTTCAACGTCGAACTTTCCAGACAGCTTCAACAATATTTCTGCATGGAGTGCACCCTCCTTGCATGAGAGCCAGACAGGAGGTAATACCATCCATTCTAGCCCTCACATGATTGGAGCTGTACCATATGTGCCTACTCAGGCTTACGAACAATATCCTCCTCACTTCATGCAGCCGGCCTTCTTTGGTGGTCAGGCGGCATATCCAAATGTCCAGCCATTGGACTGGCAGCTCCGTCTGCTGCGCCTGGGTGAACAGCCTGCTACGTTCACCCGGGAGATAACTGAGGCGGCCCAGCCGACCAAGGTTAAGAATGTGTTGGTTGGTACCTATGATGGTACCACCAACCCGGAAGACCACCTTATGGCTTACACCAACCTCATGTATCTGCAGGGGTTGGATGATGCCACTTGGTGTCGGTGCTTCCCGACTACATTGAAGGGCATTGCCCAACAATGGTTTGGCAACTTGCCGGCCGGGTCCATCGATAGCTTCAGGAAGCTCGCCTTCCTGTTTGCTTTCAACTTCTCAATGAACATCCCTGCTAAGAAAACAAGCCTTGATTTGAGCACTGTTAGGCAGGGAGAGAGAGAAGGGCTGCGCTCCTATGTCAGGCGGTTCAATCTGATCAGAATTCAGGTTCAAAGACTGTCTAACGAGGTAGCTTTTACAGACTTCTTCAAGGGTCTGAGAGACGGGTCGACTTTTAAGTTCGACCTAGTCAGAAAAGGGGCTTTCACCTTACAGGCGGTCCTGAGGGAGGCGGAAAGCTACATCCAAGCTACCGAACACTGCTGGCCTGGTAACCAGTCGGAATCTAAGAAGTCCGACAAACAGAAAGACAGCCGGTCTGCTCAGCCGGCCAAAAACAAAGAAGAGAGCAAGAAAAGAAAAGAAGGCTGGGCGGTTACTGACTCTGACCAGCCATCCCAGAAGAAAAAGAAAGAGTTTAAACCGTACATCCCCAAGTACGAGTTTGAAAAAGACTGCAACTCCATCCTCATGGAGGTAAAGGACTGGCTGTCCATTGAGAAGCCGAATCCTATAAAGAGTTCTGTCCAGTCACGAAACAAAAATAAATTCTGTCAGTTCCATGAGGAGGTCGGCCATGACACCAACGACTGCTTCAGTCTTCAGCGGGCGTTGGACTAAGGCACTTGAGGAATTCCGTCTGAGTCAAGTGCCTAGGTCGGAAAACAACCAGGCGGATGCATTGTCAAAGCTGGCGTCTTCCGCCTGTCATGATACGCCTCGGTCAGTCTTTTGGGAAGTTCTTGAAAAGAGAAGCATCTATGAGGATCCCATTGGAATTCTGGACCGAAGCTCTACCTGGATGGATGGCATCCGGGCCTACCTTTCAGACGGCACACTTCCTGATTCGCCACAGGAAGCAGCCGTCCTGAAAAAGCGAGCTGCAAGCTTCGAGTTGAAAAATGGAGAACTCTTCAAGGCGGGGTTTTTGAAGCCTTTGTTGAAGTGTGTCACCCCAGAAAAGGGAAAAGAAGTTCTCGAAGACTTGCACTCGGAGCCGTCAGAGCCATATGACATTATTTTTGGCCCACTCTTGAGGCAGACGCCAAGGAATTGGTGAAGAAATGTGACAAATGCCAAAAATTTGGCAAGCTTATTCACCGTCCGGCTACTGATCTGACGGCCATCCACAACTCAATCCCGTTTGCAAAATGGGGCATGGACATTCTAGGTCCTTACACGCCTGCTCCAGGCGGAAAGCGCTACATCTTGGTGGCTGTGGATTATTTCACCAAGTGGGTGGAGGCTGAGGCGGTTAAAAACATCAAGACCTCAGACGTAATTTCCTTCATTTGGAAGAACATTATCACCCGGTATGGGGTACCTATGTCTATGGTGTTTGATAACGGTCCTCAGTTTGAGATGCCTCAGCTAAAAACTTGGTTG